ACCAGATATAATCATGCATAATTAATCCAATGTAAATTGCTCCATGCATATTAAATTTTAGGTTTTCCGATTAGTAACGTGACCTTCAAGAAGTTCGCAAGATTTGCCAAATTTAAATAAGACCCCTTTCGCCTGTGCTTTTAAAATGATTATCGCAATTTAAAGTGCAATAATCAGTTCCAATGGTCAAGTAAACTGGTATTTTTTTTTATTATTATTTAGGGTTAAAACAAACATATTTGAATAATTAGGTAAGAAAATATTTTAAGAAATCAAAATTTTAAGATCAATATAAAATGACGTAACTATCACTGATGTCAACGATTAAACAACTGATTATTCAAGTCCCAGTATTTTCAAATACAGGTAGAAGGTCTCAAATTTTTTACTGAGGTCTCGTTTGTTTGTTTTTTTTTCATAAAGAAGCTCTTATCAGCCTCTTATGTATGATTCTTTTTGAGGCAAACTGTTTGTTTTTTTTTTTCTTCTAATTTTTGAGAGATACTTATTTTTCCTCTTATTTGATAAGAGGTAAATCAACCTTTTATTTGTTTCTTATTGTTCTTCAAATCCTCAACAACGACGTTTATCAATCGATTAACCTTAATCGATCATTTCTCTCAAACGATCCTTACCAAATCAATCACCATCTCTCTCAATTAATGTATTTTTATTGGATGTAAATGTGTTAAACATCGTTAATGACATGTTTTCGTTTAAATGAATGTTAATTATAAGATTTAGATGTAAATTTCATAATGATGATGAATAAATATGTGAAATTGTATGAATTTATCTAGAAATTCATCATTATAACTTTTAATGGGTAAAATAGACAATTGAAACAAATTCAGACGTTTATCAGTCTACAAAAACACACAGTCTTACTGATTTAGATTTCAGACTTTAGCACCACCTCTTATAAATCAGAAATAAAATAAGACTTCATACTTCAACACATCTTCAAAAAAAACAAACATCACCTAAGTTTAAAGATTAGATCATATGATTTTCCTAAAAAAGGTAGCATGAAATGATAAAATATCAACGGGATCTTTCTTTTTTTCTATAAAATATCAGTAGAATAACGTAATTTGAATCATGCGTTTCACTTTTATCAAAAGAACACACACGAAAGTTGAGTTCTAAAAGAATCTCGAATTCTGACCATATCTTATCAGCGAATGAAAAAGAATTCTTATTCGTGATATATGCTTCGAAAAAGAACCTATTTATAGTGACATCACATAAACGAAACAAGTGAATCATGATCATCGTAAAATACCTGTTTGGATAAATAACGATCTTGCTTAACTGGTATATCTATTTCCGGTAATTAACTAGAAACATATTTATATCGAACTATTTAGTTGTCATAGAAATTTATTTATATTTGTCATTTAACACGTCAAACTTTTTTTTTAAGTATATAATATTTACTAGAAGGGTACTCGCGTAATGTAACGAGATACATCTCGATTTTAATGTTCTATTTTATTTTTTGTCTCTGTCGATGTGATAATACGATTTTATGTGTTTTTAAGAAAACAATAATGATTTTATTTTTGATGAATAAAATATAAATTTGAAAAAAATATATATCAATGTTAATATCAAA